GAGCCACTGGAGCCTGGGTGGCAGTGATCACTTCCCCTGGCAAATCAAAACATCTAGTCACAGGTTTGTGAATGGTCTCCTGTCCCTCAATCCCTTCCATATTCTTTTATTTATTTATTTGCTTATTTACTTATTTATTTTTGTACCAGGGATCGAACTCAGGAGCTTGCGCTTGCAAGGCAGGCAGCAGAACCACTAAGCTAAATCCCTGGCCCTCCATATTCTTGGGAATAGAGCCACATCCTCCTGTTTTTGGAGTCTGGATCTTGCTGTGCTGACTTGGCCTGTGCTGTGGAGTTTTGTACTGGGCTTTTAGCAGCTAGTCCAGAAGAGGGGCATGTCATCCTGAGACATGAGGAAGAGGCATGCTGTGCTGCTGGTGCCAGACAGCCCAGGAGGCTCAACAGGTGCATGTGGGAAGTGTGGGCCCACAGGAGGAGCCTGCCTGGCAGGCCTGGCATGGAGTGGCCTGAGGCAGAAAGACTTCCACCCACCCCTTTGTTCTTACTCACAATCTTGTGTCAGCCAGTCCTTGTTCTAGGCATTTTGGGTGGATGGGTTCCTGCCCTCACAGTCCTGGCATTCTTTGGGAGGAGCAGATAAAACACAAGCAAATAAACAGGAAGTTATCACCCCTGGCATTTTCCAGGACAGTGGCCTCCCCCTCCACCCCCAGCTACTTGGCTCTGAGCAGGACACGGGGACTCATGTGAGTTGTGCTGATAAACACCATGTTTGATTTTTAAAAAGGGTATGAAGACACGGAAATACAGGGTTAGCCATAAGAGGGGGCCAAATGTAACCAAGCCCCTGAAGGTCATTATCCAAGAGATGCCAAGTGGCTTGTGTGGTCCACAGAGGACACCTGGAGACTGGCCACCCAAAGGTGTGCCAGGTGCTAGGGCTGAAGGTGCATATGCACCCACTCATGTCCCTAGATTAGGATTCAAAACTCCAGCATCTCAGACTTCTGTTGAAGATGCTTCTTGAGATTTAAACAAAAACTGCCACACTGAATGTGAGAGTAGAAAATTGTTTTATCCAAATTGGCAGAATGCCCATACCATGGGATTTCTTTCCCTTACACTTCTTACTTTGACCTCTTGAAGACCCCACAGCATGACGTGACAGTGGTGCAACCTCTCCACTCACTGTTTACCTCAGGCTTGGTGTGTACATCTGCACTTGGCCTCACACTGCGGCTGTGTGCCCTTGGTCATGGTGAAGGGGCAGGACATCACCACAGGTGCTCCTGTCCTGTTTGGACCCTGAATTCTAGCAACCACTACTCTCTTTTCTTCCAGTTCTAAAGGTTTGCCTTCCCAAAACAGTGGCATAAATGGTATACTCATCCCTGTGACTAGATAATTTTTTTTTTTTTTTTTTTTTTTTTTTTTT